AATTAGTAACCCCCAGAGGGGAAAGGAATTCTGCCAGAGGACATCATTATGTCTGGAAAACTAAAGATGCTGTATGGTAAGGTCATGAATAAATTGCTTGAGTCTGGGGTGGAGGAGAAGACCAATAAAAGTACAAAGTTTCCTACTGCTGCTAATACGCTTATGAAGAGCACATTAATTTCCACTGGAACACCATTAGGGAAATTAGTTTGTTCTGACAGTTTGTGTTGCTGGATACCATATGTTTACCTTGAGGGAATGTTTGTGGAGAACCACTTTGGGTTAATTATAAATGTCACAATTAAATAAGTAAATATACAGAACTGTATCTGTGATCTGCGTCAGTGCACAGACACTGTGTACCAGCACACTGGTGCCCCATAAAGTGTGTAGATACAAATATATACTTTTATGTATCAAATCCATCCCAATCAGCTTATCTGGACACACAGGCATCAGGTACAAACAGCACCTGCATTTTGTCTTTCTGATCTGTTTATCATTACATACATGTGGCACTGCACCATGCCCTTCTATTTAGTGCCTGCACTGTGAGCTCTGAGAACTGAGCATCGAGCTTCCCTGCTGCTGGTGACAGGTGTTGCACCTCTAATTCATCTGGCACAAAAAAGGCGAAGAGGGGGAGAGGGAGGAAATCAGAGACCATGTTAAAAATCTCAGATTAGTTGGAGTCACATTGCAGATTAGCAAAGGTTCAAATATGTTGCCTTTCAGTGTTGTCAGTCCCCCCTAATAATCTGCACGGGAGTTGAGGATTTTCAGCACCTTGACAGATGAAACCTTAAGAACACTCAAACAAACCTGTCACATAGGTCTTTATCATGCAAACTTGAGGCCAAGTTCAATAACACCCCTGTTAGTCTTCTGCATTGCAGAGGCCTTGAAAAATTGATTTTCTGTTTTGCCACTGACTTCAGTGGAACCAGGGTTTAGCCCTCCAAGGCAAATTTATTCCTGTAGATTGTAGCTACCTCTAAAATTCTTAATTTCACATCCTTAAATAGACAAACTTTGAGACAGACCAGGTGTGGGTGCAGATTTTGCCAGGTGTTGTTGACCGTTGCTGGATTATTAACTCCCCTCATGTTTTGGGATACCTTTTTTTTTTCCTTTGAAAATGCATTTTCACAGATTTAAAGGCCTGATCCAAAATGTACAGGAATAAATACAAATCTTTGTATTTTTAAGGGAGATTTTTTCAGGAATATATTTTTAACAGAAACAAGAAATCTCATCTGTTAGGGCAACATTAATCCAGGGAAAACGCTTTCTGAAGTGTCCAGAGCTTGTTAACACAGCTAACACCTAAGGCAGCAGTGTGTCTTTAAGCTCTACTAATATTGTACAATAGTAATTTTTGTGGAAGAAAGTCTTCCCCTCTCCCTGAAGAGAAACAAGACATATTATTGACTGCCATCCAGAAAGATGTATGCTCTGGCCCTCGTGAGTCTATTAATATTTGATGCTGATGGATGTGAGCTGGCAGCCTGAGTTATTAATGGAGTTTGGTTCCTTGGACCTAACCCTCAATACATAGGGGAGATTTAACAATAACAAGAACTGGATGCCCAAACCTCTCCTGGTGCTAGAAAGGTCTGCCATTTAGTTTCAGCAACAATTAGTATTTCTGAAGTACTTAAATGTATGGAAGATCATATAGATGGTGTTAGTTACATTAGTGCCACCATTCATTTTGATTTAAAGCTGACTTTTTAGGGTCCCGGGGATCACAGATCCCCCACCTGTATCTTTGCTATGTTGGGATACTCCCATCAGATTTGGATTTCAAACAAAAAAAGGCTCACTCACGTTTGCTTCCAAGCAGCTGTGTGGAGATGTGGGACACCCTGTCCTTGGTTGTACTGAGGTGCCATCTCGCAGATTGGGGCCTGGGAAGGTGTAATGCAAAGCGGAGGGCACGAACATGCTGCTTCACACATGGAGCGGGGCATTTACTGGAGCTGGCCCTGATCCCACATCCCATAAAGAAAGTTTTTCCATTGATTATGTCAGAGTCAGATTTGACCTCCGAAATTAGGAAAGAATACATTGGATAGATTTTTGATATTTTAATAAACTGGGCCTTCTAAGTGAAAATGATGAAGAAAATGAAGCACTTTTGAAGGTTTGTGATGTCCATATGGATCATTCTGACTTGGAAAAGAGAGATGTAAAATACCAAGTTATTTATAGCTAGATTTCTTAATATAGCTTTAACATTTTCAGGGGTATATGTTTAATTGAATTAGCTACTCCTTCCTATCATGTATACCACATCCAGGCATTTCGCTACTCTCGTTAACCTCCTGATCTTAATAGAAAAAAGAATAATCAACATAAGAAGCACAGCTGTTGATTAATTTTACTAAATAGGATAGAAATATAAAGTACCATATTGCAAGAGTAAAGATTCAATACACAACATTTGAAATCAGTTTAATAGAATATATAACTCATTAACAACTGGATAGACATATACTGCGGCATTATTCACTTGGGCAGGTGGTGAGAGGGAGGTGGAATTTACATATCTTTAACAGTACCTGAATGCATTTTATTTCATAGGTCATTCTCCCAAATCAAGTTCAAAATGTTAATAACGGGGTGTGCATTTATAATTAATAAAATCTTAGAGCCAGTGCTATAGTTCAAGTGCATTTTCCTCTTATGTAATTAAGAAGTTAAGTGTATTTGGCAGTTGTCACTCAGAGAGCTCTGAAGGGCTCGCTTATCAAACCCGGGGATAGAAATCTCGTTAAGCCAGTTATTTTTTCAGTTAAGGTTTGTTTGCAAAGTAAGTGCGTATAACGTGGACAGCCAGAATGACCAACCTGTGTTAGTCCATAAAGTATAGTATATTAAAGTAAATGCCAACACTCAAAGGCATGTTGAATAAAGATGAAACAGCCTGATGTTTAGCTTGTATACAGTACCTTTTCTTTGGGATACCCAAAGTGTCTGTGTCTGACTGCCCTCCACGCAGAGTAAGTCTACAGAAAACCGATGAATCCGCACCAGCCTGTTGTGCACGTGGCCAGGGAGAACTTACTGCATAACAGAGCTGATCTGCAGTCACAGAGAGTCAGCTGAGGAACTGGAAATCCACCTTCTGCTTCCACATGTGGCCCAGATGCTGTTCTAGTTAATCTGGTTCCCAAGGGCATATTTTAGCTCCGTATCACTCCGGTCTATTGTCCTTTTCAAAGGAATTTTCTTTTAGTTCTAGATAACTAGTTCAAATCCAGATAAGGTCAGTTGTCATAGAAATTATTAGCAGTACCAGCAGTTCTGTGTTGTACATGAAATGAGTTGGGAGTTTCATTCACACAAGATACGGCTTTCTAAGTGGCACTAATTGGCTGTCTAATTGTCACACAGGAGAAAGGCAGAGGATTGATTAGGCGTGGAGACTGAATGCCCCTCTGCCATCCCGCTCGGCTCTGGGTTCTTGTAGCTCATTCTGTAGGCATGCTGGCAGGGTAATGAGGGGCAGCGAGCTTTGGATTTTCTGGCTGTCAAGACAGCACCTTTTACTGCCAGGCCTTTTCAGGGGAACTTGTTTTACTCCACCAAGGTCAAAGATAGCATCTTCTACAAACACTGCTTTCACTCAAAAATCAGAGACTTGTAGGATTTACTGCTGAGCGGTACGTATTTTAACCGTTTCTTTTACTTCCCCCTAAACTGAAGTTTTTAGTATAAAATAGGATGAGTCATACTGGTGCTAGGCAGAACTGCTACAGCAAGCATACGGGGGTTTATGGTGCTCAGAAATCTGTTCATATTTCCTTTTACTGTCTCAGTGTCTGATGCTGTGATATACAGGCTCCTGGAGGTACTTGCCATGGCATAGGGAAGCTGACATTTTGAGCATTTATCTCCTGATAAATGGATCCTCCTATCACAGAATGAAGCCTCTCACCTGCAAAAATACATTTTGACCAATATCTTTTCCCCTGAGCTATGGTATAGGTCACACTGTGCAATGTAGTTACTATTTAACTTTGGAGTAGGATAGCTTTCTCTGACATACAACTAAATTATTAAAGTTTGACTCACCGAAGAAGTAAATTTAGGAGCTAATTTGTGATGTGAAAGTCAGGACTACACATAGAAGAAAAAGGAGCAAAAATGCCTTGTATATGCTAACGTATCTAGACTCGACTGTGGGATTCAGTAAGTAGGTTTAAAAGAATTGTACTCACATTTTAATCCCCTTGTGGTATCAGATGAACAATAAGTAAGAACTGTGTCTCTCCTTTCAGCCACACAAAGTAATCGGTGCATAGAGCGTACCATAATTTACTGTTGAAATACTCTATATTTCTGTAACATATAAGTATTACTCTCCTTTCCCTCACTTTCCCCACACCCAAAGCAGAAATAGGACAGAGACCATCTGTTTCTGTGTTCTGCTCTGTGTATCTCCTCTCTTTGACATACGCATCACTCCTTGTTCAGCGTTCTTCCTAAAGTCACAATCTCATGCAAATTAATTGAAAACAAATGCAGGTACCAGCTACCCATCAAAAAGGTCTAATGCACCTGCCATGTAGTTTTCCTCTCTGCCAGTCTGTGGAAGATGAGCACATATAAGATCCTTTAGCTTTTTAACAGCCCTATTCTTAGAATATATTTTCCAAGAAATGCAGAGCAATCTTTGCACGGTTTCAGACTGTATATTTTGTGATTAGTGTTTCGTAAGTGATGTTTTGCTTAATGATCTAACATCTGTTCTAGGAGGTTTGTTTTTGTAACTTATGAATGCCAGAAACTTGTCCCTTTCCTCTAAGTCAATCAAAGCACTAATTGCATCATAATCATGGGAAGCAGCGGTGACTGCTCAAGTGCTGAAGACTCAGCAATCAACTCATAACACTCTGTTCACTGTTTTGAAAGAGAAAGCCTCCCTGTGCAGAGATGGGAATTTCCTGCAATTCAGATTTCTTTAGCTGATTCTGACTTTCTTTGGTTTGCAGGGAGATAAATGCACCATTACCTGCATGGCAGGAACCTACGGTACCAATTGCTCATCGGTTTGTAACTGCAAAAATGATGGTGCATGTTCCCCTGTGGATGGTCTGTGCTATTGCAAAGAAGGTAAACAAAATTCATTTTTAACAATTGTCTACAATTTGGCATCAATGCTTCTCCCCTTTTAAAGTGGCACAGCTGTGCAGTGAGTAACTCCACTATTTTCTTGTGCCTGTCGGTAATTCAACAGTCTGCCCAAGTATCAAAACTCAACAGGGGCTTGACTGTATGTTTTGTCTCTGCCCTGAACAGGGGCCAGACTTAACTGCTCTGCTGCAAGAACATGTCACAGAACTAAGTGTGCTGGCAGAGCCACAGCTCCTCTCCAAAAGAAATGCAAAGCAATCCCCAGACAGTTGGGGTTCTTTCTCTATGACTTTGCTGCCCCATTTCTCCAGGACTCGAAAGCCCCTGTTCTCCCCTCCATGCCTGGAGTGACACAACTGGGCAGGGGAGCAGAGGCAGCCTCCTGCCTGTCTTTTCTTTAGCCCATTGCTCTGGGCGGTGCCCAGCCGTGGTTATGCTCACCAGACCTGACCCTGACCTGCAGACTGCCTGCCTCTCTCGACCTTGGACTGGTCTCATTCCCATAGGATCTCTTGGTGGTCTGGGCTCCTAGCCAATCCCGGCTGCCAACCCTGTGCTTGGGGACTGTGGGGTGGGCCCTGGCTGTCTGCCCTTGTTGCCTCCCTCAGCTCCCTGTCCTTGCCGTACCCTGACACTGTGACGCTCCAGCCATGTGCAGGTATCCTCTGTCCCCTGAGCTGGCATGGGGTTGCAGGATGTGGCTGTCCTTTATCTGGGGAAACAAGAAGTCTTGCTTTGTCCGGAGACTGTCTGCAAGACTAACCTCTTTTCTTCCCACACATGTGTCCATAATTCCCTTACGTGCCTGGTAGTGAGCATAAGCCATGTATCCAGTAATCACTTGAGAAATCTTGTACCGCTCCATAGCACAGTAACTCTTACGTTCCCTGTGTAACGGTGCCTTCCCCCAAATACCAACATGAGCTATGCCTGTATGGCATACATAAGCCCTAAAACAGAAGTGAGGCACATAACGATAAAATCTGGCATTTCAAACATGAATTAATGGATCACTATAGAACCCCATTTAATGGGGGTGTATAAACCATGAGTTACTGCTCAACTCCATTACATACAGCTGCAGTGTAATAAAAGCCATTGTGCGGCTGGTGGTTAAGATTCAAGCCTTAATGGTTAGAAATGATGGCCTTGGTCTTTTTTTAGGTGTAATAGCTTCTTTATATTAAAGAGCATTCTCAAAAAAAATATGAGGGAAGAAACAGGCAGCATCGCATGGCAACTTTCTTGCATTCTTGCTGATCAGCAAGTCTCCAGCGTGCCAGAGAGTACTGCACTCTCTCCTGCTGCCTGAGCAGTTCCCAGAGAGGCATCAGACACCTTAATCTGGTAAACAGCCAACACAGTGATACCTATATCACCCTTCTGTACATATAGATGCTGGTAGATGCAGTTGGGAGGTCATAATTAAAGGGTCAATCTTTGACCCCAAGATAGACTTAATTTACACCAAGATTAGGAGGAAACTGGTCCTAGAATCAAAGAGCTGCAGTTTGCAAGCTGCCTTTCTTGCTGTCTCTACCTTGCTTTTTTCATGAAAACATCCCAAATGCTGTTTCTCTCGTACGTTTCTTTAGGATGGCAAGGAGTGGATTGCTCTATTCCATGTTCAAGTGGAAGTTGGGGTCTTAACTGTAACCAGACATGTTATTGCACAAACGGAGCAGCCTGCAGGCCAGCTGATGGCTCTTGTCTCTGCTCACCTGGATGGCAAGGGGAGTACTGTGACCAGCCATGTCCTGTAAGTACAACTGGGATGGTCTTGCATCTCCTTTAAAGCCATAGTTCACATCATAGCTCTTCTAAATGTACAGTAGGTCAGTATCTCATTTTGTCTATGCATAGCTGAAGGAAATCATGTGTAAATAACAGATTGGGGTTCTAGCAGTCAAGTAGATGTATTCTACTATGCATTATATTTTATCAGAGCTATTGCCGTGTTATCTGCATTTTCTTGAACATCATTTTTTAAAGTGATTCCTCATTTGCTTCTATATAGAAATGTTAGGCACTGAGTTGTTTCTATCTTCTCTGTATGTTAATTTAAAAAATGCAACTCAGCATTAAGAGGGACATGATAGATGATTTTGCACATTTTAGAACAAAAAACTGATTACTGAGAGACTTCTTTATTTATATTTTTTGAAGGATGGAACATATGGTCTTAATTGCAGTGAACGTTGTGACTGTAGCCATGCAGATGGGTGCGATCCTGTCACCGGTTACTGCTGCTGTCTTGCGGGCTGGACAGGTAAAATTAGCAATTAACTTTGTAAACCTTGGGGTTTTTGTTGTTTGGGGGTTTTTTTAGGGTTTGTGGTGGGTTGTTTTGCTTTGTTATTGCATCAGTTATAGCACTGGACTTGTGACTGAAAACTTTTAAATAATAGATTGAGACAAGATCAGCTGAACTTACCCATATTTAAATCACTCATGATGGTGACAATAATTGGCATTCATTAAATTTGTATTCAGATTAGTTGAAGATGGCTCCAAACCTGGAGCCAGATGTTAGCTTTCTGTAAAAAGAATCCTCAGGAGGGATGCAGATCATCTGGAAATCCTGCAGAGTTTTTCTCCTTGAATGGCCCTTTCCGTGGGCGTGCAGTTGTGGTACGGTGAATCCTAGGACCATCGTACCTAGGGATGCAGATAGGTGTTTTCTGAATGCTAAGAATCATTACAGCTGCTCCATCATACAAACCCCAGTTTTGTCACAAAACATTGTCTTTATGCTTTTCCCATTTTGCCATGCTTCTTATCACACAGAAGGGTAGTTATGGAAAGCAGATTAATGCTGGTTTGACAAAGAGTTCTCGTGATTATACAGAGGCAGAGAGGAATATTCAGTAAAGTCGGAGAGTCCAGGCTGGAGATCTCAGTACAATCAGACCTGCACTTGATTCCATACTGATACGTCTCTTTGCCAGCATTTGAGAGCTAGGATAACAGCAGCGGGGGGCGAGTTATTGACCCAACCAGGATTTCACACTTAGCTGCCTAAAATACTGGTTAATCTCCCTCAGCTCTCTGTAGAGGCCCTGGAGGGAAATAAACTTACATTCTTGCCCATAACTGCAGAACCACCAGTGGCACTGACAATCAAAATGCATTTGTATTAACAGCAATTCATTTGGAAAATGTAATTGTTTTTCGAACAAGTACAAGTTGGAAGAATGTACGGAGCAAGGCAGGCTGATCAGGCAGCCAACATTTGGGATACTGACACCTTACCTCTTCATTTATGCTTTAAACCAATGCATGCCTTCCATTTCTAATGGAAGGAACATCACCACAGCAGCTCAGCTCCTGGAAGCATGAAGCAAAAGCAATGAAATTATACCTAGAACATACAATGGAAAAAATCTTTTAAGAATTAAATGCAAAAATAGGAAGTTCTACACACTGCTTACAACAAAGCTACTTTTCAAAGATACTGAGCATGCATCCCTGAAAAGGGCATTTTTCCCGCAAGAAAATCCATTTTATAAGCTCACTAATATCCCCTCCTCCGGCTTGCATTCTTCACTCACTGGACTGAATTCATCTTTCTTTGAGCCTCTTTACCGTCAATATATCCATCTATCAGGCTTTAAAACTCCACTGTGCATTATTGATGATCATCAGAGAAACAGTTGGTAGGCTTTCCTGTAGTCATTGTGAGTTTCTTCAAGGGATAAAATGGTTTTTAAAAGTACAGTAAATTAAAGAGATACATTTATACACACTTACTCTAAAAGTTTATTACACATCTTTCTGGATGTAGCATTCCAGAGGAAACTGCAGAAAATGTACTTTGCAGATAATGCAGACTAAAGGTGTGGCTTTTTCTCAAAGGCATTTGCAACAAATACTCTGTACTTACTCCCATGCACATCTGTAAATGTACATCAAATGCAGATACAAATTACTCCAAGTAAAGGTAAGAATAATTTCTGTAATATCCTTCTTTTTTTAATTTCCATGTTGGGCAAGATAAATGTGTCTTAACTTGCAGGGGATTTACTGCAAACTAAGCACTTTATCCATCAATGTGTCCCTGCAGTTCTGGAACTCTCTTCATCAGGATCACATTTCAGGGAGGAAAATATTACGCTAGTATTCGAGACCAGGTTGGAGCTGAGATGTTGACAGGGCCATGTAAGCTGTACACTGGAAATGTTGATAGACAGACAGAGCCAACATGTGTTTTGTCAATTCTGCTTCCAATGTTTTTTCCACTTCGCTTAGCACTAGACACAAGGATAAATTCTGCTCATACTAGTTTGAAAGCATGCAATTTAAGAAACTCTTCAGCTAGATAATTATATTTTCATATTAAGGAGTATGCCATCAGTGAAAGATTAATCTTATCGGTAGTTGTTGTGAACTGGGCCATGATGTGTATTGCAGTGCATTTTATAAATATGACGTGATAAATAATTCAGGCTTAAATTTTTGCTTGCTGAATTTGGTACTAATTAGGCATGGCCTGAAAAAGATCAGAAAAGTTCAGGATATGGAACATCTGAAGGTTCTCCTGCCCACTCACACCAGACAGAGAATTCACGTGGCTTTCTGATCCTAATAGCCACAAAACTTCATCTGAAACAGGATATTCTGTATGTTCATTCCACATGTGGGACTCCCTCTTGATGTCAGTGTTCTATGTAAAGATCAAGGGGAAGATTGAACCCATTTTCTTTAAAGCGGTTTTCAAGATGTTACTGATATAAACCTTCAGAGACTGATAGACGGTAGGAGCATGGAGGAAGACTCAGAAAAGAAGAAAAAAGGCATGTAAAGAGTAGTATACAATCTAAGTCAATAGCAGTCTACCATCCTTTTATTATGTTATGACTGCCACCCATCAAGACTATTATTCAGGACAAGGCCCTTCTGTGTGTACCGGCTGGGGGAAGGTAGTTTTCAGGAGCTGAGTGTACCTGGCAGAGGGGAAGATGATCCCACGTATCAGCCAGGAGATCACAAAGCTGTGCAAACCAGCTGTATGCATAAATAAGCACACTGGCAACAAGCTGCTTAGAGACATGTACATACAGTTTCCGTTAAGTTCAATGGGGAATTGCACGTGTGCAGCCAAAGGCAGAAGTTAGACCCTGAGAAACAGATCAGATTTAAAGATGATTGCGCCCTGTCGTTATTGCTGAAAATTACCCAACCAGGTACACAGGCACATTGTATCACAAAAGGCTTTGTAGATAGCATGGCAAGCATAACGTTGGTGCTTAAAAGACCAAAACCACATTGGCAAAAGGCTCTCATATGGTACAAGTGAAGTGAAACTTGTTCAAATGTGGGCCAAAATCGGATCTGTGACCTGCCGACGCAATGCAGAGCTGAATTTTCCTCCATGTGAAGGAAATGTCAGATGCAATAACAATAAGGGCTCAGCCCTGCACTGAATGGAGTTCTCTAGCGTGCACCAGTACTGCATATGCGTAACCTCACATATATAAATAGTACCCTTGAAATCAAAAGAAGACGTGTTCATATCTATTGCTCAGTTAAAAAGGAAAAGTGTAGCCCCCAGCAGGATCAAGTCTTGACTGATTAGATTGATTGTTTTCTAAAGATTAATAAGGGTCTCTCTTACTCCAGGTCTGCCATGCATTTTAGATACATATCGCTTCTGTGCTTGCAGCTCTATGTCTGTGTGCACACAGATACCTTAAAGCTCCCAACATACTAGTCATTTGTGGAAGAGGTGTTATTTTGTGTACATTCAGGTTAAAATGAAAATGCTTGAAAATGGAGTGCTTCAGTGCTAATTGCATTTGGTTAATTAGGGATCTTGCACACACTGAATCCGCAGAGAGAATGGAAGTGCAGAAAAGCTGCGTGGTAGAGCATTTACTGGAAGTCCTTTCAAGCAAACAGGTCCTAGAGAAGCAGACATCAGTCTCATCTCGCCCAGATGCAACCTCCTCTCCTGGATGCTCAGTGACAGTGATAAGATCAGAAATTTCAATAAGGCTCCTCTTACTTAATAAATAACCTGAAACTGGACAGAAAAGGACCGGCTGCCCTGGTAGCCTTGCTGGGTGGGTCAGAAGCTAGGGAGAACATGGGGAAGCAAGATTCCTCTGTTAGGTGTAATGCTGTGTGGCTCTGGAAATTACAGCTCCAGCTAAGCCATATGGGTTATGCAAGCTGAACTGCAAACCCCATCAGCTTGGTCCCCTCTCCTCAAGGTGACTGCTGGCACCATGTTTGGTGGCAGAAATGGCTTCCTCACAGATACCAACTAGTTATTAGTATATAGCCTTTAGTTGGTTCACTCAGTACAACCCTCAATAATTAAATTGGTCATAGCTTCTGGCCTGTCCTCTAATTTCTGGAGGTGCTCCCTTTGTGCTTGACCTGAGCCATGTTAGCAGGAGACACAGCCATTGCTCATTGTGTCTCTAAGACCCGAGTCTGTCCGTTTTCACAGTCAGACATCCCACTCACAAACAGATTACAGAAAGGAAAACCACAGGCCTGGCTGATATTCACAGAAAGCTCATTTCCTCCCCGTAACGAGTCAATGTGCTTCAAGTTAATTGTGGCAGTGTGTATTTTGTTAACCTTTCAGATATTACAGTGGGATTAAATAGGAAATGATCTGCAGGGGATATATTCCATTCCTGTAAATGTTAAGGTCAGTTAAAATCCTGTTTATCTGAATTCCTTTAATCTGAAATGCTGTCTTATCCGAATCTTGGTTCTGTCTTTCTTTTTTTTTATATCGCGCTCTGGTTTTTATAGAACGCTGCAGTTGTGATGCTATCTCAATTATCCACTGAACTAGTTTACTCAGTAGCTTTTCTGAGTATCTGAAGCCAAAGTTTATTCAGTAGATTTTGACATCCCAAAAACGTGTGGGGAAAATATGATGGTACTGTAGATGTAAGATGGAAAATATAGAAGTGTGCATCCCATAGTTAATTATAAAAGAACCCCTCACAGTTTTTCCTTAATTAATCAGGATGGCAAATACAGGTATGAAAATTATATATGCTGGTAAGGAAGAAACATCTTGTTACTGCATTGGTACTTTTCACCTTCAGGCTTCATTCATGTCTCATAAGAGCAGCCTCCCTCTTTGCCGTTACATACGGGAAATCAAAATATATATTTCACTGTCCTTTACAACCTCAATAACTTTCACACATTGCCAGCAACATAAACCCTAATTGTCTCTTATCATGTCCAGAAATATTGTACAGTAGTTGTGGTAGTCTCAAGTTGTAGGGATTTCCACATGTG